TTTTTTTTTTGAATACGATAGATTATTTTGGAATTATGTATATATCCAATAAAAAATTATGACTATTGTAACTGAAACACTAATTGTAGCAGCTTAGTAAAGAGAAGTTAATAAATATTGGAATTCAAAATCAATTAATAAGTTTTATACATTAATAAAAATATGTTTGACTGAGCAAGTAATGTCCAAATGCATCAACCTTTCCCTTTTATAGTCCTTATTTTATTTTAATTGATTGATGTTTAATGTTAATTTAATTGAGCTTTTCCCATCAATTACGTAACTTTATAATTCAACAATGCAATTAAGCGAATTAACCATTAGCTAGGTACACATTTTATAATGGGTTAATTGCATAAAAAAAACCTCAACTTTTTGTCCAACTGCAAATAAAACTCAACTTTTTCAATTTCCAACCGCCACCCGCCGCCGGCCAACTTCGCCGAATATTGAAAATTTTTACATGATCTTGTAGTTCTCCTCCGTGCCTACAACATATTCGAGTTTCACGAAAAAATTCCGACAATAAATTTTCCAGTCAAAGGTCGTAGATCTACAAATTTTCTACGACCTTTGACCGAAAAATTGGAAGCCTTATCGTCTGAATTTTTTCTTGAAACTCAGATATGTTGTCGACACGGAGGAGAGCTACAAGATCATGTAAAAAATTTCAATATCCGACGAAGTGGGCCGACGACGGGTGATGGTTGGAGGCGGTGGTTGGCGGCGGTCCGGCGGGCGAGATAAAATTGCAACACTTAATAAAAGTTTGGTATTTTTTTACCAAATTAAAAAAGTTGAGTTTTATTTGCAATTAAACAAAATGTTGGGATTTTTTATACAATTAACCCTTTCATAATTGAAATGTCGCATTTTAAAAATTATAGAAATAAAATATTAATTCCAGATGTAAATTAAAATCACACACAATGTAGAAAATTGGTTTTAATATTATTTCAACATTATGCAATTCCCTTTACTTAGTCACTGTGAAAATTTCCAATTTGTCTACTAATTATGATGAAATTCCAATGTAATTCCAAATGCAATTTATTGACGTACTTTATATGATTAATTTTATCGCACTTATACATTTTTCGACCTATTTATTTTTTTTGGATGTATTCTTGCTCTTTGATATTTTTATGTCTTATATTTAGGCTATGTTTGGTTAGACAAATAAGTTAGCTTATAGTTTACTTGGTTAGCTTGTAAGCTCCCTGTATTCAAATGAGCATTGTTTGGTAGGACGAGCTGTTTTAAAAAACTCGAGCTTATTTAATAAACTTATTTAGGTAGCTTTTCAAATAAGCTAGTGAAATTTTTTTATTCCAGCTAGCTCATCAGCTAATTTTACCAAACACTATCATCATATAAGCTAGTTTTCTAGCTATAAGCTATAAGCTCGAAAATTTATGATAAACTATAAACTAACTTATCAGCTATCAACTAGTTTTACCAAACATAACCTTAGGATATTGGATTATTTCACCTGCCGTAGTAAGGGGATGCCTCATACCTGCCTGTTTTGGACCTACATGGATTGGTAACTAAGGCCCAATGCATTGGCTGGAAACTCAAACTTGGCTATCACCAATTGTATTGTAAATCCATGGATCAATTTAGGTGAAAAGTACATGGCCCATAAACTGATTTATTGGATTAGGAGATGGGTCCAAATTGGAAGTTAATTAGGGCTTGGTTGTTTATGAAATAATTTATTCAATTTTATTTTATATTTGAAATTTAACTCAGTTTTTAACTCAATTCCACTATATGTAATATGATTTATATAATTAAACAATACAAACCAATCACTCTTGCGCATCACATCAATTTTAATTCACCATTCATCCACTCATATAATTTTAACTACCTATCATTTCCAATTATTTATATCATACTTTAACATCAATCAATTTTAATCATTTTATTTCTGGTTATGAGGATGTCGAACCCTATGTATTTGACTATGATTAATTAGCTATATTGAGTGATTATTTTGTTATTTTTATAAAATATTTGTGTTATCTTGTTTAATCAACAATGTTTCATTTTATTAAGATTGATCACCTAGGTAAAATTTTCATATCTAATGCTAGAATTTATTGCATTGGCAATTCGTAATTGTTGTTGTGTTTAAATCGAACAGTTGGGATAACACGACTTAATTAAGTGAATAGTGCATTTGCGTTTACTACTTAGACTAGCCTAATTTACTAGATCCTAAAGCGGCTATTGCATTAAGTTTAGAGAGTGTATTCCAGGATGTCCAATTATAAATCAAGTTTAACCGAAGAGTCTTTCTCGACTAAATAATCATTGAGAAAAAATTCGGGCAAGAGAGCGTGTTGTTATCCAGTGCTAGTAATTTCAGAAGATAGTAAAACTTGATGCCACAATTAGTTAGACTAGTCAAGCGAGTGAGTAGACGGAACAGTCAACTAGGATTTTTCCTTGATTTATTTTATTTTATTTTATTTAAACTTTATTTATTTAATTAGGATCTTAGTTATTAACCAATCCCCCTCTTTTATTGTTTTTGTAATTTCAGTTAATACTAGAAACTTCGTAATTCACACTCCTTGTGGGATCAAGCCTTATCTGTCGCTAGTACTAGTTATAGAGGTTAATTGGGGAAAATATAAATTTTAATTTGTCGCGTTGCGACGCGCTGTCAAATGTTGTCGTTCTCCCACTAGATTCAATTAGGTAATTGTTTGGCTGTTTCTCGTTGTAGTCTAGATATATTATGTGTTTTTTCTATCTATATAGTTCATACAGTTTGAAGAAAAAAAATAATAATAATAAATAGCACTAAGCATATTTGAAGAAAATTTCCTTTCACCGTTTATTTGTTTATTCAATTATAGTAGATTCGTTAGACATAAATATGTAACTAGAGAACGCTTCATTTATATTTCGTCCATTATTTAATGTTTTACTTATTGTTTATGAAAATAATAGAAATGTTTTGTTATCAACAACAACAATAATAAATCCAATCAAAATCATTAGGCAACTTGATATATGCTAACTAATATATTAATTTCAAATTTATAGTTACTTTCTAATAGACATGATATATTAGTTAGCTGAATTAATTTGGGTTTCATTTACAATCACAAATTCCCACGTAGCTTATTTGCACACGAGTAGTGGTGTTAAATTAAACGAGCATGGCTCGGCTCGGCTCGATCTCGGCTCGTTAAGGCTCAGTTCGGCTCGAGTTCAAAGCCTTAATGAGCCGAGCTCGAGCTCTTTTAAAGCTCGTTTGGTTAACGAGCCGAGCTCGCCTCTGCTCGATAAGGCTCGTTAAGGCTCGAAAAGTAAAATTTATGTAATTTTTTATAGTTCTGCTCATTAAAGTTCGAGATCGGCTCGTTAAGGCTCGAGCTCGAGGACTTAACGAGCCGAGCTCGAGCTCGATTTTTAGCTCGTTTACTTAACGAGCCGAGCTCGGCTCGGCTCGTTAAGAGCTCGAGCTCGAGCTCAAACACCTTAAGCTCGAGCTCGGCTTGACTCGTTTACAGCCCTACACACGAGACAGTGAGTAATAAAAATGTTTTCTTTACCAAAATGTATGGTCGTTTGTAATTAATAATATAGTACAACTTTGGCAATATTATTGGTGCAAATAATTAGATTACTAAAAATGATCTGTATTATTATGAGTGTCTTAGAATAAAATCGAATTACATAACTAATAATAGCATTCAGTATTGAATAAAAAGGTACTAAATATAATGTAATCTAATTGTTATTTTACTTTATGACTAATTATAAAAATTATAAGAGAAAATATAACTAGATTATACAAGTGCAATACTTTAATTTCTAAATAAAAATAATAATAATAATAATATTTTTTAATAATTATTCCAAAATTCAATAAAAGCTTATACTTTTTTCTTTTTTTTTTTTTTAAAAAAAATTAACTATAATCTTTTATTTTGCAAGTTCCAATTAAAAAGTAACGAAATTATTATTTATCAATTAAATTGATTTATCCATCGAGCATACTATCTTGAACGAGTTTCGTATTTTATTTTAACTATAGCAAATGTGCCGAATATAACTAATCTTAAATCAAAATAATAACGCGGGTAATTAAAAATTAATTAACTTTTACTTTAATTATTTTTTAAATTAAGTGTAAATTTATTAATTAGCAAGGGAGTTGATGAAATTTATTGCTAAATATAGATGATATGCAATGACTATAATTGGCAACATTTCTACATTTGGTTGGGTAATTGTAATTATAAGGTTAACTATTTTTGTTAAGAATGCCAAATAATTATGGAAAATACATTAACATAACTAAATTCGTATTCAATTATTTTTGGTAAATTTTAGGAATGGAAAATTATAATTATAAGTTAACTTACTCAATTCATTATGATTGGAAATATATTAATATTCTTTTACTATATATTTAAAAATATATAGCATCGACTCAGCCATATTCCAATCACTTGATACCTTAAATATATTTACTATCATGAACTCTACATATGTCATTATTATGTTTTTTAAGGCAACATTATTAGTTTATGCTAACATCACCATACGTCTTAGTTTATTCTAACATTACCCATAGATCCAAAAACATGTTAAAAAGAATATTTATTATGAATAACCTATTTAATTTAAGTTATTAGATGAATACATGATAATGGTGAATGCTGGTAAAATTTCAAAAATGATACACCAAGTTGAGCGTTGTCAACAAAATAGATATTTGTTGTTCCTTGCGGAAAAGAAACATGTAGTTGGCGATTTGGTCGGAAAAGATAAATTAATCACCCCACCTGGATAAAAAAGCTGGCGTGGTCGGATTAGGTAGTAACGTGGCA